TCCCTCAGCACTGACCCTCCGACAGTGCGGCGCTCCCTCAGCACTGAACCTCCGACAGTGCGGTACTCCTCAGCACTGACCCTCCGACAGTGCGGCACTCCCTCAGCACTGACCCTCCGACAGTGCGGCACTCCCTCAGCACTGACCCTCTGACAGTGCGGCGCTCCCTCAGCACTGACCGTCCGACAGTGTGGCGCTCCCTCAGCAACCCTCCGACAGTGCGGCGCTCCCTCAGCACTGACCCTCCCGACAACAGAACGACAGAAACTCTGACTCAGAAACCAAGTCCACCAATAATAACACACACAGACATACGTACAGACACTTGGACACACACACACACAAGCACGCACACACAGATACAGGCATGTGCACACACACACATACACACACACAGACACACAGCTCCCCCTGCCTTCCTTCTCCCTGGACAATCTCCTCTTAAGGTTACAGCTTGAGTTTGGTAAAGAAATCAGCAGTTTAGCTCCCCTGTTAATCTCGCTTAATCTCTGTCACAAATGGTGTCTCTGTGAGTCCTGGGGGTTGGGGTAAAAGAGACTGTGTTTCAGGCTGAAAACTGTAACTGTCTCTGCAAGTGTTTCCTCCCTGTTCTCAGTCCCTAAACATTGTTCAACCACCGTGTCACATAAACCTCGCGGATTTGTCAGTGACGGTGAAACCAGAATGGATTCATTGCTGATACACAGTGACATTGCAATTTTGGTCGAGCAAGAGGTGAGCTGCTAGCTGGGATTAATTGTTAAATCAATTAACTGAGTCAATCAGAGGGGGAAATAGGTGGTACTGGGGTGTGGGTGGGTGGAGGGAGTTGTCAATAAGCTGTAACCAACAGGTTTGGATCTGAGTTGGCCATTTGGAAGATGTCACTGCATTATTGAAAATTCACTTTGATCCACTATAACATTGCACAGTGAAACCCAATGCTAGTCGTTAAGCTTTCGACTCTCTGTTAATCCCCTGGGAATACCAGTCTCTGCAATCAGTTACATTCACTGCGCAGTCCAGGTGTTTCCTGCCTGTGCTTTCTACGAAGGAAGGATTCACTCAGACATGTCCATATCCCTTTCTCTGTCAACCTGTTCTCACTGGGTCCCGTTCCCAGCTGTGTTCGAGGCACTGGAAGAATGTCCATATTACACAGGAGGTGGTGCAGGGCGTCTTAAAACACATAAAGGTGGATAAATCCCCCGCACCTGATCAGGTGTACCCCAGAACTCTGTGGGAAGCGAAGGGAAGTGATTGCTGGGCCCTTGCTGAGATATTTATATTATTGATAGCCATGGGTGAGGTACCGGAAGACTGGAGGCTGGCGAATGTTATGCCAGTATTTAAGTAAGGTGGTAAGGAAAAGCCAGGGACCGATGAGCCTGGCACCGATGTTGGGCAGGTTGTTGGAGGGAATCCTGAGGGACAGGATTTACATGTATTTGGAAAGGCAAGGACTGATTAGGGATAGTCAACATGGCTTTGTGAGTGGGAAATCATGTCTCAGTAACTTGATTAAGTTTTTTGAAGAAGTAACAAAGAGGATTGATGAGGGCAGAGCGGTGGACGTGATTTATATGGACTTCAGTAAGACATTCAACAAGGTTCCTCATGGGAGACTGGTTAGCAAGGTTAGATCACATGGAATACAGGGAGACCTAGCCATTTGGATACAGAACTGGCTCAAAGGTAGGAGACAGAGGGTGGTGATGGAGGGTTGCTTTTCAGACTGGAGGCCTGTGACCAGTGGTGTGCCACAAGGATCGGTGCTAGGTCCACTGCTTTTCGTCATTTATGTAAATGTTTTGGATGTGAACACAGGAGGTATGGTTAGTAAGTTTGTAGGTGACACCAAATTTGAGGGTGTAGTGGACAGTGAAGAAGGTTACCTCAGAGTACAACGGGACCTTGATCAGATGGGCCAGTGGGCTGAGGAGTGGCAGATGGAGTTTAATTTAGACAAATGTGAGGTGCTGCATTTTGGAAAGGCAAATCAGGGCAGGACTTATCACTTAGTGTTAGGATTGTGGGGAGTGTTGCTGAACAAACAGACCTTGGAGTGCAGGTTCATAGTTCCTTGAAAGTGGAGTTGTAGGTAGATAGGATAGTGAAGGAGGTGTTTAGTACGCTTGCCTTTATTGGTCAGTGCATTGAATATAGGAGTGGGAGATCATGTTGCAGTGTACAGGACATTGGTTAGGCCAGTTTTGGAATACTACGTGCACTTCTGGTCACCCTGCTGTAGGAAGGATGTTGTGAAACTTGAAAGGGTTCAGAAAAGATTTACAAGAATATTGCCAGGGTTCGAGTGTTCATGCCATAGAGAGAGCCTGAATAGGCTGGGGCTATTTTCCCTGGAGCGTCAGAGGCTGAGGGGTGACCTCATAGAGATTTGTAAAATTATGAGGGGCATGGATAGGATGAATAGCCAAGGTCTTTTCTCCAGGGTTGGGGGGAGTCCAACGCTAGAGGGGCATAGGTTTAAGGTGAGAGGGGAAAGATTTAAAAGGGACACAAGGGGCAACTTTTTTCTCTCAGGGTGCTGTGTGCATGGAACGAGCTGCCAGAAGAAGTGGTAGAGGCTGGTACAATGACAACATTTAAAAAAGCATCTGGGTGGGTACATGAATAGGAAGGGTTTAGAGGGATATGGACCAAATGCTGGCAAATGAGAAGAGATTAATTTAGGATATGTGGATCAATATGGATGAGTTGGACCGAAGGGCCTGTTTCTGTGCTGTACAGCTCTATGACTCAGTGGGTCACATTCTCAGGGCTTCTGTCAGCAAACTCCCATCCCCAGAGATTGATCATCCTCCTTAGCCACAGTGTCCCCCAGCTCTGTCTGGGGCCCGACCACTGACGCGAGGTGGATGTAAGGTCTTGAACCTCCACCCTTCGAGGTAGTTTTCCCCAGCGTTGGGGGTCATCAGTTAACCCCTCAACCAGCAGGCCATTTATTGGTCTGGGTGGGATCCTGCTGTGCACGCATTGGGTGTCACATTGCTGCTGTGACAAAGTGATTACTGTTGGGTCCCAAAAACTGGTGCATGTGCTGAGGCTAGTGAAGGAGGAAGGAGCGGGTGGCAGCTACAGAATGGAAACATTTCCCAGCTTGGTGTCTTGCTGTCCCCCATGTTGATGTCCCCTCTCCTGAGGGGATGGGGGTGAGGGTGGAATAAAGTGAAACTGGATGCCCCTGGGCTGTGTCCAATTGCACATGTGGCTTTGGGAAGATAGAGCAATTGAGCGGAAAGGAAACTGGGCAGCCCAGGGCACCTTACTGTCTGCAGATCAACACAGAGAGACATTCATTCTCGCCGCCACAGAGTCAGACTGATGGAGAACAATGCTGAAGAGACAGAGAGGACCTGCCACAGAACCTGTGTTTGCACTGGTCAGGACACAATGCAAGAACGCCAGCAGGAAGGAGGGTGCTCCATCCTGACTTTGATTGGTCGAGGTGTTGTTATGGAGAAAGCAATGTGAAATCTGGGCGTCATGCGCTCCTGGCTAATGCCAGAAAAGGTGTGAATTTTGATCCTTGGGTTTGCAAAGAGTGGGATCCTGCATAGGAATGTACGTTGCCTCCAGCAAGTGTCTATGAGCCAGCTTCACAGATTATCGCTCTCGTTCAATTGTCAGTGTGACCAGTTGTACCCTCTGGATTGTTCAGTAAGTGCTGCGCAGTGTGTCTGTGTATAGACACAGTGTCATTTGTGTAGAATATCCCAGAGCACTTTGCAACGAATGAATGAAACACAGGCAGTGCTGCACAGTGAGCTCAGGGAAACAAGCTGTGCGTGGTCATCACCAGGTGATCAGACAGCCTCTCAGAGAGTGCGAGAGGAGAGTCATTCCTTCGTGTCAATGGTCCTTTGCACCAGGATCCCCTTTGCCTGACAGGAAGCTGGTTCTTGTGTTAGTCGCTGGGAGGGCTGAGTGTCAGTCAGAGCGCTCGGGAGAAGTTGAAAGCTGTCTCAAACACTGGGAGAGTGTTGTTGGGGGTTCCGTCAGCAATCTGCCCCACCTTCATTGCCCATCATTGGTGTGCTCCAGTCAGGTTTGGTCTCCATCGTTGAGCCCACGGATGGGAACGGGCTCGCAGACAGGATTTCGAGCCACTGTCCCACAGCGAAGCCGTGCACGAGCAGTCTCCCATCCCAGTCGTGAGGTCATTGGCTGATCCCAGGCAGGGAGGGATCCGAGGAATTCGGGGAGAGCCTGCCGACACAGCCAAAGGAGTGACAGGGAAACCGGGCCAGGATATAGCGAGCTATTCACCAGAGAAGGAACGGAAAACCTGGCTTCTGCTCAGTGCAACGTCACAGGGCCCAGAGCTGAGGGGGAGAGTGTGGGAAATCTTTGTGAGGCCAGTGGGAGCATTGTTTTCACAAAAGGAAACGGGTGAAGTGTTGGAGAGCGATGTTAACGGGGAAGGAAAGAGCAAGGTGGGGGTTGGCAGAATGGGGTGGGGAATGGCACGATTTGAGTAGCGCTGTGAAGGAGACAGCAGGGCCATGACGGGCCAAATGGGCTCTTTTCTTTGGTACGTTGGTGTCACCAGGCCTTGGGGAAGCGACTGCCATGGTTCACCCGTGGTTTGTGGAGTCTTGTTGAGTGTGTTGGATGAAATTGCTGTCCATGAGAGGTGTGTGCCCAATGGGGAGTGTTGCTGCATTGTCAGACTGACTCTCTCTCTCCTCTGTCTCCCTCCAGCCCTCGTCGTCACAGTCTGCAGTTCTCTGGAGAATAGCACGTCGACTCTGACTGGTAAGTGAGTCCATGCTTCACTGGAACCTTCACAGTACATGGGGATTGCCCTTCAGCAGGGGACAGGAGAAATCCATTCAGCCCCTCAAGCGTTTGCTGAACGATTGGCCGCGAGGTTCCCCGAACTCATTGGTTGGCTTTCTGGCCCCCATTCCTTGGAACCACGATCAAACCAGCATTTCCTGACTCTTGTCTTGAGCATGGTGGGGGCTGTGTCACTGCAGGAGCAACCCAGGCTCCCCAACTCCTGCCCGCAGGACCTGGGTTCAAATCCCACTGCTGCTGTTGCTGGGGGAATCCAATTGGTATTGACAAGGTTGGAGTTTAAAGCAAGCCTGATAGTGGCCACAGAACTGTTCGCAGTTGTTGGGTAAAGTCCTCAAGTTCATTACTGTCCTTCAGGGAAGGAAATAGTCACAGAGCTGTACAGCATGGAAACAGACCCTTCAGTCCAACTCGTCCATGCTAACCAACTATCCTACATTAATCTCGTCCCATTTGCCAGCATTTGGCCCATATCCCTCTAAACCCTTCCTATTCATGTACCCATCCAGATGCCTTTTAAATGTTGTCATTGTACCAGCCTCCACCACTTCTTCTGGCAGCTCATTCCACACATGCACCACCCTCTGTGTGAAAAGGCTGCCCCTTTGGTACCTTTTAAATCTTCCCCCCTCTCACCCTCTAGTTTTGGACATCCCCCACCCCGGGGAAAAGACCCTTGTCTATTCACCCTATCCATGTCCCTCATGATGTTCTAAACCTCGATAAGGTCACCCCTCAGCCTCCGACGCTCCAGCGAAAATAGCCCCAGCCTGTTCAGCCACCTCTACCTGATCCGGCTTCCATGTGACTCCAGACCCACAGCAATGTGGTTCACTCTTCACTGCTGTCTGGGTTGTGAAGGATCGGTGATAAACATTGCGGGACGCAGCACTCCATGAACAAATGTCTGCCAAATGTGCCCCATAGTGTGCCCAGCTATTTTGCGGGAGACAGCCTCCAGGTTCCATTGTGTGAAACAAGGCTTATTTTGTTTCACTCACTGTCTAGACCAGTATTTATTGCCTGTCCCTAGTCACCCCCGTAGAGGGCAGCTGAGTGACCCACATTATTTGGAGTCACATGTAGGCCAGACCGGGAAACGTTGGCCGTTTCCTTCCCTAAAGGACATGAGTGAGCCGGATGGGTTTTTCCCAATAACTGACCATGCTTCCAATGGTTAATTCCAGATTGTTCATTTATTGAATTGACATTCCACCATCTGCTCTGGCAAGATTTGAACCTGGCTCCCCAGAACATTCGCTGAGCTTTCTGGCTGAATAAGGGAGTGATTAATACCACGAGGCCAGCTTTTGACTGAGGAACCGAACTCAGTACCGGTGACCTTCACCCCTGACCTGAGCAAATAGTTTCTCCGTGTTTATCAAATCCTTCAAACACTGTAAGCAAGATTAGCTCAGCCTTCAAAAGGCGGGAGAAGGGAGCAGGCGCTGACAGAGTCAAATGGAAGTTTGATGTCAGAGTGACAGAAACGAGACCCTACGCCCTTGTCTGAAAGAGGTCACGCTGTCGCTCCTGAGCCAGGGTGAACTGGTCTGTTCTGTCTCTGTCTGGGACCCCTGAGTGGAAATTCGAACAGCTCTAGGAGTCATTCCCAGGCTCCGGGCAGCTCAGCTAGGGGGGTTTGGTCAGTCTGCCTGTTTCCCCCTCACCCCACCTTCAACTGGTGAAAGAGGGGGTAACAGGGGAGGGGTCATTGTGACTTGGGGGTCACCGGTTCTGACCTGGTGATGATGCCCAGTCATTCTGATCTCACTGGGTTTTGTCTCCGTCCTCACCATGAAGCGACAGGACAGGACAGTACAGCACAGGAACAGGCCCTTCGGCCCACCGTGTCTGGCCCGGCCCTTCTCAGCTGAATCCCATCTGCCTGCCCGTGGTCTGTGTCTCTCTGCAGAACACTACTTTACCCCACCCTGCACCGAAACCCTGGCCCTGACTCCCCCTGCCCCCAGCCCTGCTGCCAGCGCAAGATGCAGAGGAAAGAACTGCATTTCCATAGCAGTCTTCGCTTCCTCAGGGAGTTCGATAGAACGTTGCAGCCAATCACCTGAACGCCCCCCACCATCCCTCGCCCAGTCAACCCTGCGGTGTAGCAAATAGAGCACAGCAAGCTCCCATGCACAGTGCTGCGTTAATCTGGCATGGTGGGCGCTGGGTGAGTTGGCAGGTCCCTGGGCGCTATCCACCCTCCTTTCTGACTGGACGCCGTGCCTTCAGCTGCCTGGATCCGAACCTCTGGAATTGCCCGTGGCTTCGCACCTCCTGATTAGGTCTATCCCCTTGGTTTCCTCGTGTCCCTGCGATGTTTTACCACTCGCTACACAGATGTAGGAAGTTGTTGTTGTTGTAGGGAAACGGGGTGAGGCCACTTCGGGTGTTGGAAACCGAGGATGAGGAAATTTAAAAGAAACGGTGTCGCCAGGAGACAGAGGGGCTGCGCTGAGCAGAGACTGAATTGTCATGATGTTGGTTGGGAGTTAAGTGTTGGCCATTTTAAGGACCGTCCCTGTGAGGGGGACAGTGTGAAAAGTTTGAGCGACGCTTCTGTATTTTGGGACTGGTGCTGTCACTCTGGAATCTTTTGCAAGCCAACTCTCAGCCGTGCTCCAACTGTTCCGTTCTAATGAAACGCCAAGTTGCCCCATCCAGGAAACCATTTCATTGCTTCCGCTTCTGCTCAGAAACACAGCTGTTTGTTGATACTGCCTGCAGGCTGAGTCCTGTCTGAGCAGATGGTTACAAACGGGACTTCACTCTCAGAGCGACTCACTGATATAAATCCAGCTGCTGACCAGGAGGAGGAGGAGGCCACTTGGCCCCGTTGTACTGTCTCAGAGCTCGTGTGTGGTCTAGCTTTAGAAGAAATGCCAGTCTTATTGTCACTGTTCCACAGTAAAAGTCTCGGTCTCCATCTTAACTGAGGCTACCTGAAGCATGGAATGCTGATGGAAGTGTGCTCCTGTTTGTCAGCAAATAGTGTAACATTAGCCCAGACATGGGAGAGCCTGTGAATGTTATATCTGGGTATATTATCATATTAGATAATGTTATAGTGCTCTGTTGGATCTTTCAATACAACTTGACCCATGTCTAGCCGTTATATTCCAGGAGCGAATGTAGACACTGTCTAATCAGATACAGATACTTTACAGAGATTGGGTTAGACTCATGCTCACCAGCCTGGTCCACCACTCATGAAGGTCTGATCTTGATTCTCCCACATTCCTGGCTCTGTTTTCCCAGCGGGAGTGGCTGAGGGATGTACGTTGGTGATTGGGGAGAGTGGGGTTCGGGGGTAGGGGTCCCTCGGTTGCAGGGGCTGACAGAGGGCACTGATGTCCTGCTGATGGATGGACCGGATCGAGGGACGGGTGGCTGCTCAGTGCCAGCCCGTGACACCGTTACCCATTTGGCCCGTCTGGCACAGGTCAGGCTGGCGCCCTTCACCGACCCTCTTCCCCCACCCTCTCCTCCTCCCGGCCTGAACTCTCGCACAGGGTCACCGGAAGCTGGAATAATGGCCTTCCAACCCGGGATTAGCTCGAGTTGGCGACGCTGGGTGGATGGGCAAGGTCCTCACAGCGGTCACACCTTGGCTGAACCACCCGTCCTTGCCGTGTGCCCAGACCCAAACCGAAGGCCATGCCTCCTTGCCCAGTCAGCGAACCTTCCCTGCCACCCCCAGACGGCGATAAATCCAAGCCTTTGGAGAGACATTTGTTGTTGGGATGGTGCTGCGGTGCAGCGTTCGCTGTGAGACTTTGTCAGTGGGTTTTCGTCGGCAGTGTTGATCCTGGACTATAATCGGGGCACACCCAGGTGCTGCAAGAGATACCTGGCTGGCTGTTCAATGGATACACTCCCCTCAAAAAGGCTCGAGGGGAAACTGGTAGATAACCTGCTTCAAGTCCAACCTCATGACCCGCACAATTTAATCCCTCAATCCTTGGCTCTCAGAATCTTCCTGGCTCGGGAATTTGTGCAGCTCCTGAGGATTAAAAGAGATGTTTCCACATTCCGAAATGAAAACCAGGGCTTTCCAATGTGCTGCCTTCTTGCTCGTTCTCCCAGGAAGGAGGGAAAGGGCTCTGAGCATTTCTGAACAGGGTACAGTTACAAATCAGAACCAACTGTGCGAGGGGGCAAGGCATCCCTCATGTTAACACAGCACGTGTTTCCTCTGAAAGAACCCTCCAGTGAGGACTCGTTGGATAGTATTTTCTACAGGGAATGTCTTTTGTTCTTGACATCAGAGCACAGAAGGGAAAAGATGCTTCAGGTTCTGTCGCGGTGCATTTGGTGCCCACTGCCAGTTAGCTTGGCCATGAAGCTGTGCCTTCTGGGTTTCTGCGTCATTGAGAGGTTTGGATTCACCGAGAAAGCAGAGGTTAAGAACTGACTGCAGGCTTTGATTGGTTCCAATCTCTCCTTTACATCAAGAAACTAATTGTTGCTCTGCATCTCAGAGCTGAGAGAGTATCAGAGGCTGCCAGATCAGGGAGCATGGCATATTTTAGAGACACCAATTCTCTTCCGCTCTCTCTTCCCCCTTCACCCTCCCATTACACACACACACACTCACACATACACTCACAATCACACACTAACTCTCTCTCACACACACACAGACACACACTCAAAGACACACACTCTCACTCACTCACACACACACACTCTTTCTCACACACACATACACACACACACACACTGTCTCTCTCACACACAGACACACACACACTCTCACACATGCAGTCACTCACTCACAAACACACACACACACTCTCTCTCTCACACACAGACACACACACACACTCTCACACATGCAGTCACTCACTCAAATACACACACACACACTCTCTCTCTCACACACACAGACAGACACACACAGACAGACACGTACATACTATGGCTGGTGCCTCTCGATATGTTTGGAACCATCTTTGTGAGTTTATCGGTGAGAGTTACTGATGGTCTGTCTGGGGGACCCCGTTGTGCAGTGAAGGCACAGCTTCATACACGGAATCTCGGATCATCTCTCAGTTACCGAGCAGAGAACAAACCCCCACATCAAATCCGAGAGAGCACGCTTGCCCGCAGTCATTGTGTGTGGGGAGAGGGCTCTTCTGGAACTGTCCCGACCCTGGCATTGCCCCCATCTTGCCCTGTTCCTCGTGCCAGTTGTAGGAGGAGCCTGGGCCAGGCTCCATTGAATTGCTGATGGGGAAGCAGGAATTCCAGGCCGACTGAGCTGCTGTTATCCTCATCCCTCTGCCTGTATCCTCCGGCCTGGCTCTGATCCCCGGTGTCAGCAACTCATGCGATGCCAATGCCCATTCAAACAGGGCACCGTGCCTGTACCAAGATCAGGCCATTTGTGCCATCTACTTTGTGCTGGTTTCAATGTCCCTTCACCTCGCCCTGGTGACACCACCTTCCCTTGTGTATTTATCCAGCCTCTCCCTTCTCTGTTCACCTTGCCCGTTGCCTCTGGCAGTGAGCTCTGCAGCCTCACCACACTCTCAGGGCTAAGGTGTCTGTCCCCTCCAGAGCTGCTGCTCGGATCGCGTTCCCAGTGCCTGCCTCACCTCGAGGCCGTGACCACGTCCTACCCAGCTGGTGCTCACCGTCCTGAGTCCTCCACGGTGGCTCTGTGAGGATACCATGAGGCTGCGCCTGCTATCCTGGCAGTGGGAGGGTGCTGGGTACAGGCCACTTGGCATCAAGTCCCAGGTGAGGAAAGTCTGTGACAGCTGCAGAGCGGTTGCAATCTGCTCTTCCTCCAGCCAAGGCAGGCTGGAGAGTGGCCGACGGTAATTCGAGAATCCTGACCTCTGGGAATCGCAGTTTTAAGGTCCGTCTCGGCACAACACTTAACAAAAAAGGAGCAGCGTGGAGGAATCGACTTTCCTGTCT